TACTGCGGCCATGCAGAGTGGATGGAGCACACACGTACAGCGCCAGTCCGACAACGCTGACATCCCCTGCTCTGCAGTCACACCGGTTTTATAATCCCAGAGGGATTTTTCCTCTATGATTCCCCCCCAAATTGTTCACCACGACCACTCTCCTCCTGTGCAAAGCCCCCAGCGCCCGACCCTTACCCACCATCCTCACACCACATCACGCTGCCCCGCTCTCTTCTTGCCCCCGCGGCTCCCGTTGGCACCCTCACCCCTCCATCCCCCGGAGAGCGCTGCCCAAGTGCTCCGGCCCCCCTCGATCCCCGCATCTCCTCCCCTCCACCTGCGGCACGACGTCTTCCCTGCAGCCAGACCCCCCTCTCTGTCTCCGTCCCACGCACGCCCGCGGCCCTGCGCCGCGCTGGCAATGATTTACACCAGGATCTCCGAACCATTAAACTCCGCCGGCGCGATCGCCAAACCAGCGTGCAGGAAGCCAAGGGACACTTTGTGACTTCTCTTGGGACATTCCCCACTGTTAATTCGGCACGGGAGGCGCTCGGGATAAGCCCTATCTCCAGCAACGCTAACACGTCTAGATGCGCCCTTTTGGCGCGGGCATCCAGGTGGGGCGGCAGCAGATAGCATCTTCCCCTCCGTCGCAGACAAGAGCGGTCCCCACCAGGGCCACGCAGACCCCCCACCCCCGGAGTCAGCCCCAGGTGGCGCTCCACGTCCCGGTGCTCCCGGTGAAGCGCCGGCCCCGTGGCGGTGACTCACGAGGAAGCACGACACCCATCGCTGCCCCGAGCGACACCCACGCTCCTCTAACCCTCCGCAACCTTTGGATTTTCCCCTCCCATGACATCACCCTTCCCCGGCTCCCGCTCCAGCGGCGACACCTTCGTCGCGGGATCACGAGAGATGAGTCTGCAGTTTGGGGGAAGGGGTCAGACCCCCAAACGCAGTCACCGGCACGGGATGAGCTGGCTGGCGCTCGGCTCCGGGGCTTCCTCGCTGCCGAGGAGGAGTCAAAACACACCGCATGGCTCACCGCACGCTGCGACACACCACAAGAGCCGGTGTGCAACTCCAGCACCAAGTGTCAAACATGAGATTAATTACCCAGAACTTTTGGGTTTTTTTTGGGGAAAAAAGAAAATCTATTCTCCAGACATCCAAAGAGCATAGATCCTGCTGCACGTTGGCATATATATGATGAGCGGAGCCCCCGTTCTCCCTCTTCCCGAGCTGCTCCCGGGGCTGGCGGGGCTGCAGCACCCACCCCTTCCCAAATTACAGCCGTGAGGTCCTCCAGCTCCTCTCCGCACCAATCCTCAACCCACGGGAGATCGTTTAGCTCCTACGCGGGCACCTCCAGAGAGCTTGACGCCTCCTGGAGGTGGGGTTGGATGTTCCCCAGGGGGTTCACCACCCATCCCTGGGGAGATGCTGAGAGCCGGGGGGTACCGCCGAGCCAGGCTGGGCTTCACCCCTCTGCCCCCGCTCCGGGGGACAGCCAGCCCCACATTAACCCCTCCGCAGCAGCGCCGGCACGCAAGGCGCTTACCTTCATCTTCATACCTACACCCAGACAACCTTCTCATTAACCGCTTTCCCGGCTAATTGGTGACCGCGGCACATCCTCCCCAAGCTCATTCCTTACAGTGGTGGGATCCTTGAGCGGAGCCCTCCTTACACTCAACCCACCGGCAACACAAAA